TGTCCATTTTTCGTGATTATGACTATTCTGGATAAAGAATGTTTTGAGCAGAGGTGGATTCAAGGCACTCCCCCTCCCCCCTTCATTTTTTAAGGAAAAAAAAGGAAAAATATATTCAAATTGAAGTGCGAGAGTGCAATTTCCGGCCATCTAGAGATGCCCTAATCATAAATTTTCTTACCGAGTGGTTCCTCGGTCTGTGAAAGTCCCTCCCTGGTTTACCTCTCTTTCGAATTCCTGGATCTGCAACTGTTGATTTATTATATAATTATTTTTTCGCTTATTTATAATGCGTCTATTGCAATTTTCACTTTATCCTCTCAAACAGTCCTAAGAGCGTTCAGAGTGCGCTACTTCACAGGGGGATTTTCCCCCTTGACCCCACCGGGGTCATACGTAATTCGCATAACGGCTCCCCCCCTTTCAAAATCCTGGCTACGTCCCTGATGGGGTGATTTTTTTAAACAACTGGAGCATGATTTTCTGGCCTCAAACATTTTCAATTTGGGGGGTGTTATGCCACTGGTAGGCATTTATTTTAAAGCTAGGCCATATTCAAAGTTTATTGTCGACCATCTCCCCCCCCCCCTCCCCCCCCCCACCCTAAACCCAATACAACTCAGCTTATTAAAATGGTAACAACATGCCTTATCCATGATTAATGTTTCAATGTATTCATTTAATATGTATTCCACAATTTTATTTTCTATTAAAATTTATATGGCTATATTTAATTGTAGTACTTTATAATGTACTGCAAATAATTATAGCCATATAGAGTTTCACAACTTCTTCAGCCTTTTTAATGACGAGAGGTTTGCATTGCAAGTAATTCCTCAGTCACGAGTAGTGATTACACAACATGTTACACATTACTAAAATGGGTTGACTTTGCTCAGTGATTTTATCGTTTATAATATCACAGGATGTGTCTCAACATTTAACCTTGGTGTCACAGACACTGCATATTGATCCCAGCAGTCTGCATTCTTCTGTTTTTAGTATCATAACCCATGAACTTTTTACCAGGCCAGCTTTTCTCCAAAGAAGGAATTATGCTGTTTGAAGGGGAAGTTGTACTATAGCTAAACAGTTGGTTTTTTTTGCCTAATATTATATATATTTTTTAAATGTTGTTTATAGATTCAGCCAACTTTATTACTATTGTTAACAAAATGTATTCAGGGAGATACCTACCTGATGTAATGTCCCTTGCAGAGTACCAACAAAAATCATAAAATCGTTTTTGAAATTAACTTGCTCATTTTGTAAGTAACATAAAATTTATCAACTTAAACATAGGAATTAGTGTACTGTATTTAAAAAAATATTTTTTCATTTCATTTATTGGTATAAAAACACTCAGAAAGTAACATAGAAATGTTGAAAATTATCTGAAATGTTGAAAATTACATTATAAGCGGAATAAAAACAAGACATCAAACAACATAAATTAATGTCTAGACTAAAAAATCAACATTTAAAAAGGATTAAAAACATGACTTAAAATACATTAATTATACAAGAAAAACAAAACATTAAATTTATTACAGGCAAGCAATTCAGTCAATGTACAATTGTCATTAAGATTTAAAAGTATTACTTGCATCTAATTGCTAAAAAAATATACATTATTATAAAAATATACTTGTCAATCAGAATACAATTAATTTATTGCATGAAACTTATGTACAATCAAATTAAGAATTTAGAATTATTGCCTACATCAAATTATATACAAATTGCCTACATACAAATTATTTACTCATAATTTTACAGCAAAAAATGATAGAAAATCTTCAAGTTACTGAAAGCATTTTATCTTTTTAAATATTATCAAGTACAAAAAGTAGGGTACACATTTTTTAAATTCAATCATTTCTATGCTCAATTCATAATTTGTATGCTACTGCAAAATGAGCAAGTTAATTTCAAAATGATTCTTTTATGATTTTTTGTCATTTTCAGGGGACAATACATATTTAGTAATAATTGCAATGTATTTTCCATATCAGGATTTGAACCATATGAGAAGGATCTATTTAGGTGTGTTATAATTTGATATGTGCAATACATTGAGAATGGCATGTTGTATTTAAAGTACAGGGGCGCTATTAACTTGGGCTTTAGTTCAGTTGGTAGAGCACCCAAATGAGTGTCATGGATTTGAATCAATCACACTGTTATGGTTCCCTTAAAAGCTGTTTTCCACTACGCAAATTTATTTGTGCAAATCAAAAGCGTCCGTTCATTTCCTGAGCTCTGATTTGCTACACTTTTTTTGGCTTCGCAAAAAGTAAAAACAGTTTGAACTACTGATTTTGCTGAAGCGAAAAACTGGGATAGAAATGTATGAACGAAAACTTTCGATTCGCAGGAAGAAATTCACCTAGTGGAAAACAGCCTTTATGTAAGATGAAAATGTAATTAAATTTTAAAATATAATTACGTAAATGTTTCAAGAGTCTTAAAATAAGCAAACCAGCCCCTGTAACTCTCCCTTTCAGCAAAATTCTAGATTTCCCTGTACGTAATATTGTTTCCTCTTGTCTAACAGTTATTGCTTGCCTGGATGATAGTTATAGAAAGAATATATTTTTAAATATTAATAGTTTGTTGCTTTATTACCAATGCAATGCTTTGAAAATGCAATTATTTGACAATGCAATGATTATGACAATGCAATGTGTTTGCATGTACAATGCACACAGTATTAATGACAGTCTTCTGGTATGATTCCATGGAAACCACATCACGATGAAGCTCACGCGACGGATCATTGTCAAGAATATGGTGCAAATATGCTGTCACAAACAAAAAATTACAGATGGACATTGCATTGTCAAGCGTTCACAGAGTGGAGTTCAGTGATGCATCTAGGGGTGTGTAGGGTTGCATCCACCCCCCCCCCCCCATAAAAGCCTTCTCCAGACTGTATGCCACTGGTGAAGATGGATTTGTCAGTTATGCAGTGTGCACCCAGTTTAAACGTGTCTAGTATGATGCAGTTTAATATTTTAGTACAGTAATTCTATTTGATGTTTATATATATGATTAAATACTTAATTTGTAGATTTTGTTGGTATTATATTCTTTGTTTGATTTTAAAGCATTTAGAAGCCTTGTAACATTTTGTTTAACATTGACATCACCAGTAAATATACAGTGTATATTATAGTTGTCCGGCCGTTTAGAGGTGCCATAATCATAATTTTTCTTGCTTTAGCCCCAAACTTGATGGGGCTGAGGTGGTGGTCTAAACCACCCTCCCTGCCCCCTCCTGTATTTCAAATTCCTGGATCTTCCACTGATCTAGATCTAAAATATTAACTATACTATAAGCATGTCATAAGAAGTCTTTAAGTAATAAATATCTTGAAATATGGAGTGAGCTACCCAAGGAGGTACAATGTAAATAACTTATTTTCACCTTGCGGATCTACCCGGTGCCAATGCAATGGTTCTAGAGGAAGGTGTATAATGTGTGCAATTAAAGTTTTCTGCACTATAATGAATCTATTTTAACCTGTCCTAAATTGTTTTAGCTGATCACTGTTTAATAACATTATGACCGAATACAAGCTCATAAATTGTGACAGTACAATTATACTGAGCTCTGTGACAGACATTTTGTTTATCAAGTTTTAATTTATGCAAATAATGCAAAAGTAATGTTAAATATTTCTGTAGAGAGAAATTAATTAATGTTAAATCTTTAAACACAATGTTATCCGTAAGGCATGAAA